GATATAAGACCTGAAATCATAAAACTTCTAGAAAACACAGGTAGTAAGCTCTTTTACATCAGTCTTAGCAATATGTTTTCGGAACACTCTCCCCAGGCAAGGGCAACAAACACTAAAATAAACAAATGGACAATATCAAACTAAAAATCTTTTCCACAGCAAGGGAATCATCAACAAAAAGAAAAGGCAACCTACTGAATAGGAGAAGATATTTGCAAATCCTATATCAGATAAGGGGTTAATATCCAATATATATAAAGAACCTATACGACTTGACAGCAAAAAACACAACCCAATTAAATAATGGGCAGAGAGGGTGCCTGGGTGGCTCAGTCAGTTAAGCGTCTGCCTTCAGTTCAGGTCATGATCCTGGAGTCCCAGGACAGAGTCCCACATTGGGATCCCTGCTCTGCGGGGAGTCTGCTTTTCCCTCTGAAACTTCCCCCTCTTGTGCTTTCTCTCTCTCTCAAATAAATAAATAAACTCTTTTTTAAAAATGTTTAAAAAAAAATAATAGGCAGAGGGCTTGAATAGACAATTTTTCTGAAGAAGACATAAAGATGGCCCACAGGCACATGAGAAGATGCTCAACATCACTAATCATCAATGAAATGCAAATCAAAACCACAATGAGATATAACCTCACACCTATCAGACTGGCTAGTAGCAAAGATACATGGAATGGACTGGTAGGGCCCAGAGGCAGGGGGTAGGTGGGCAAAATGGCTGAATGGGGTCAAAGGTACAAAATTCCAGTTATAAAATAAATAAGTCATGGAATGTAATGTACAGCATGGTGACTACAGTTATTGTGTATTTGATAAGTTGCTAAGAGAGTAAATCTTTAGATTTTTCACAGGAAAAAAAATTTGTAACTGTGTGGGGATGGATACTAACTAGGCTTATTGTGGTGATCATTTCACAATATATAAAATATTGAAACATTATGTTATACACATCAAAATAATATAATGTTATGGGACGCCTGGGTGGATCAGTCAGTCAGGCGTTTGCCTTCAGCTCAGGTCATGATCCCAGAATCCTGGGATCGGGTCCCGCATGGGGCTCCTTGCCCTGCGGGTAACCTGCTTCCCCCTCTGCCTGCCACTCCCCCTCCTTGTGCACACGCTCTCTCTCTCTCTCTCTGACAGGTAAATGAATAAAAGCTTTAAAAAAAAAAAACTTAAAAAAAATAATGTTATATATCAATTATAGCTCAATAAAAAAGATTAAAGGACAACTTAAAAGACAACCTACAGAATGGAAGAAAATAAATGCAAACCATGTGTCTGACAAGAGCCTTGTATCTAGAATATATAATGAACTATTAACGCTCAACAAAAACACAACCCTAAAAAATGAGCAAAGGACTTGTATAGTCTTTGCTCCAAAAAAGATACACAAATGGCTAATAAGTACATCAAAAGATGCTCAACATCATTAGAGAAATGCAAATAAAAACCAAAATGAGATACCACTTCACACTGACCAGGATGGCTATAATCAAATTAACAGAAAATAGTAAGTTGGCGAGGATGAGGAGAAATTGGAACTTTCATACATGGCTGGTAGGAAGGTAACATGATGTAGCCTCTGTGGAACACAATTTGTCAGTTCCTCAAAAAGTTAAACACAGAATTACCATATAATCCAGCAAAGGTATATACCTAGGAATATATCTAAAGAACTAAACACAGGTATTCAAACAAATATTCAAACACAAAATTCATAGCAGCACTTTTCACAGTATTCAAAAGGTGGAAACAACCTAAATGCCCATCAATGAACTAATGGATAAACAAATTGTGATATATATATACAACAGAATATTATTCAGCCATAAAATGGAATGAAGTACTGATACATATTACAATGTGGATGAACCTCAAAAACATTATGCTAAGTGACAGAAGAATGACACAACAAGGTCACATATTGTATGATTCCATTTATAAAAACCATTCAGAATAGTTAAATCCATTAAGACAAACAGGAGATTGATGGTTGCCCAGAGCTGGGGGAAATGAGGTATGACTGCTTAATGAAAATGATCTGGAACTAGATAGAGGTGGTAGTCACAAAAACTGTGAATGTACTAAAATGTGACTAAAATTAACCATTTTACGTTATATGAATTTTACCTCAATTTAAAAAAAAATGCAGCAGGGAAGACAGTCTTTTCAATAAATGGTGTGGGGTCAGATGGAAATAAAACAATGAATCTTGACATTTATCACATACCACATATAAAAAATCAATTCTAAATAGATTATATAGCTAAATGTGAAAGTTAAATAAATAAAGCTTCTGGAGCAACACTAACAGAACTTTGAGATGTTGGAAATGTTCTGTGCTGTCCAACACTAGCAATATGTGGCTAGTGAGCACTTGAAATGTGTGAATACATTTACAATTATATTTAAACTTAAATAGCTACATGTGGTAGGCTTGTATATTACCATACTTCTAGAAAATAATATAGGGACTATTTTCACAACCTTGGGATAGACAAAAAAGACAAGGTAAGTATTAACTAAAAAGAAAATAATGGGCTTTGTTAAAATTAAGAACTTTTTTTTAAGTTTTTTTTAAAGATTTTATTTATTTATTTGATAGCACACAAGCAAGGAGGGGGAGGGGCAGAGGAAGAGTGAGAAGCAGGCTCCCTGATGAGCAGGGAACTGGATGCAGAACTCAATCCCAGGACCCTGAGATCATGACCTGAGCTAAAGGCAGACCGCTTAAGCGACTAAGCCACCCAGGCGCCCAAATTAAGAACGTCTGTTCATCAAAAAACTTCATTAAGAGAGTGAGAGAGCAAGTTACAAAGTGGGAAAAGGTATCTGCTAAACATACTGCCAACAGGATACATAAGGAAATCTTAAGAGAGAATAAAAGAGAGACTGACAATTTAATAGAAAAATGTGGAAGAGGCTTGAGCAGACACTTAATAAAAGAGGACAGCCAAAATATCAATACATATATGAAAAAGTGCCTAAGGGCATACTATTCATTACACATTCACATAATGGCTAAAATGTTGAAGATTGGCATATCTAGTACAGTCAAGGAAATGGTACAACTAGAACTCTCATTCAGCACATATAAGAATGTTAACTGGTATAATCACTTTGAAAAACAATTTGGCAAAAAAGAAAGAAAGAAAAACAATTTGGCAAAATGTACTAGAACAACTTATACGGGGGTCCCTGGGTGGCTCAGTCAGTTGAGTTGTCCAACTCTTGGTATTGGCTCAGGTCATGTTCTCAGGGTTGTGAGATCAAGCCCTGTATTGGGCTTCTCAATCAGCAGGGAGTCTGCTTGACATTCCTTCCATCTCCCTCCCCTCCTCCCCCCTTCCCTGACTCGTGCATGGACGCACGCTCTCTCTCTCTCTAAAATAAATAAATAAATCTTTAAAAAAAAATAAAACAACTTATACATACTCTAAGATACAGCAATTACACTACAACAGAAATGTATACATTAGTGCACAAAATATGTAAAAGAGTATTTGTAACAACTGTATGCATTTAACACTGGAAAATAACCTAATGTCTAGCAAGAGAACAGATTCATGGTATATATGAACAATGGAATACTATATAGCAACAAAAATGAACAAAACACTAATATACAACAGGATGGATTTATCTCACAAATGTAATACTGAGTGAAGGAAACCAGACATAAAAAATTTACTCTACATGATTCCATTTATAAAAGTTCAAAAATAGGTAAAACTAATCTTTGGTGTTAGAAGTCAGGATAATAGTTATCTTCAGGGAGAATGGAGGGGGATAATAATATGAAAAAGACACAGGAGCTTTTTGGGGGCTGGTAATATTCTATTTCTTTACCTGGATTGTCAGTTGGTCAAAAATGTTAACTTTGTGATAACTCAAGGAACCATACCCTTAAAAAGTGTACACTTTTCTGATACATTTTATCTCAACAAAATTTTTTCATTAAAGAAAACAAAACACAGTAAGGATTCAGAAAACTTTAAACACATGATTAACATACATGACCTAAAGAACATATGAAATACTGTACTTAAGGGGAAGAAAACTGAGAGACACAGCTAAAGAACACGGCCAGAGACAATGGTAATTAACACAGGAGCCACCTGTCTTCAAATTACAGGGCTCTAGCTAGTCAACTAAAGTTAAACGTCACAAATCATTAGAGATCTAATACATACAATTATCTTGACTATTAGCCCCACAAAGTATTTTTCCATAACAAATTTGTTTAAAAGTATTAACAGTATTAAAGCATATTAATATAAGAATGACAGATATGAAACATGTAGTAATATAGCTATACATTGCAAGAACTGTAACTGTATTTTAAGAGGAGAAACTTTATGTTATACTTTTTTTAATTCTCCAAAGAACCCAGTACAGTGCTGAGCACACAATAGACACAAAACTGATGGTTACATATGTGTCTGCACACGCACATTTGCGTGTGTGTGTACACATAAATATGCACACACATACATAAAACTCCATGTGACTGCAAGGCATCAGTTCTCCCACACCCAAACAAGCACTGCTCCAAAGACAAATGGAAGACAGACAAAATCACTATTTCTTTCCTAATGTTTTCTCCCAGTGCTCTTTTAATTCTCTACCATATGAAGGGAAAGAAACAACTATTGTCATGACAACCATACTGTGAACTAGCCTGTCAGTCTTCACATTTTTTAAAATAGATGTCATTATAAAAAATTAACCTACTGTAAAGACGAAAAAGAACCAAATGATATTTTGTATTTATCAAGGAATGCACTGCAGGTTACATGCCTATGCTCAACTAAAGAGATGTTTCAGTGTTGTTCTAATGGAGGTGACAGCATGTTAAAAAAGATAGGAAAACCTAAAAGAAGGCAGCCAAATGGAAGTGTTATTTGCATCATTTCACTTCTCTCTTTGTTGAATAAAATTTTAGAAGATAATGCTGTGAAGAACACAGGTCGAAAAAATATCAATTACCCGATCATTCATGAGAAGATCTTTCACAATGAAAGTAGCTACCAAGGACTTCAAAGGAGCAGCAAATTGATCAGGTGCAAGGAGAGCAATATGCCCAATAGTAACCAATGGTGTTATGAGATGTTCCAGGTTGCTTGGATCTAGGCTCTTATGCAGAGGCTAAAAATGAGAAAAGGAAAACACATTCAACTCTATAAATATGCAAATAAACTAGTCACATATTTCATGTTCAAATAAGAAAAAATTACAGTAGTTTCAAGACATATACGTGGTGTTAAGTAGTAGCTTAAGCTTACATTTAAATTTCTATAGGTTATGTCTAAAAGGCATCACATTCAAATATTGTCAGGTTTTGCCCAAGTTGTATCTTAGAAGTAGGTAAAAAAAAAAAAAAAAAAAAATGTCAGCATGGAGAATCATATTATGTATATTTTATGACCACACTACATGAATATGGGAGACTGCTAGGGCTCAGCAATATCCACTTTTGTTCTACTTCCTAAGCAAAAGGATGGCTATCTAAGGAGCGTCCTCTCCAGCTAGATGAAAATATGTGAATAAGCTCTGGTTAACAGACTGGGTATAAAAGTGAGGTATGCCATGCCCACACTAAGGCAAGTATGAGAAGTGTATCTTCTCCATATTCTCTCTCTTTACTCACTGGCAGGCTTAATACCAAGCATCCAGTGGGACTTAAAGAGAAGCCACTTGTCAAAAAAAGTCTATGGGACTAAACCACTGATTAGAATGCAATCTAAACACCCACCTGGACTTTTTATCAGGAGCCAGAAATAAGCTTTTATTATACAGAGTCACATGCATTTGTGTGGATTTTTATAGCATCAAATATTAAGTACCACAACTAATGAAATTATTTTTATTATTCTGATAGAAAACCCAATCATTAATACACATTCTGCCATGACAAAAGAATGAGATTCTTCGTATACCCATATGGAATAATATCTAAAATGTAATGTTAAATTTTTAAAATAGAGAAATCAGAAGAGTGACTATAGTATATTATCACTGGCATAAGCAGAAAGGGAAGGGGACAAAATGTATGTATGTGATTGTGTGTGTGCACGCACATATGTATGTGTATTATGTTACTTGTATGTGAATAAATACTCTCCAGAAAAGTATCTTAGAAACTGGTAACATTGGTTACCTCTGGGAATGAGAACTGGGTGGCTAGGGATACAGGGCTAAGGTGGAGGAGAAAACTTACTATTTTACTATTTGGATTTGTTTTGTGTCTTTTGATTTGGAAGCAAGTAAATATATTATTAAAAATTTTAGTAACACTTTTAATAGAGTCGATGCTGTCCTCCCATACTGAACACCAAAAATTCTAGGCTCGAAAAACAATACTAAACTGTTCTTTCCCAACATATTAGAGTAATGTGAGGCTTCATTTAGTCAAAAGTATACTTAAATGAGTTTGCATCTTGCTATTCTTGATGACTTCCCTCAATACTTCCATTGTACACCTAAATGCCAGCTTGTTTACATTATAAATAAAAATATGACCATGTAGTTTTTTTCAATAATGAGTGTGACAATTTTAAACAATAAGATAATAAAGTCATTTCTGGAAAAGCAAAATTAATAGTCAGACCCTGGATTAACAGTAATCTCATGAAGGCCAGACAAGACAGCTCTATGAAACCTTTTCTCAGAAAGCTAGCAAACCTATACATTATAGCAGAAGGGTTACAGATTAGGTTATGGTAAAGATAAAATATCAGATATATAATATCAAAATGAAAATAAAAGCACCCTACAAATTCAAGTTATTATCAGCATTATCCTGCTCCTTATCACCACTGAAAAGGAGATTAATCAAGAAAAAAACAAAAGCTTTCTAAATCAACATGAATTCATTAAAGTCATTCTGATATACAAACACAGACCACAGAAAATACCTTCCCCCCCCCAAAATGTACAAAATTTAAAATAAATTATTTGCTATATACAGCAAGAGGATATATGATAAAGACAACTACTTTTCTTCCTTGTTCATGTCTTTAGCATAATACATGAAAAGATGAAAAAGTTAGCATAAATGTTTCTAAAACAGTAGCTTCAGCATAATTTCCGAACTGTTTTGATTTCACTCAAGGCTCCTGAACTAAAATTACAAGTTTGGATTTTATGTAAAAATGCTAAGTATCTAATAAGAATACTAAAGATAGCCCCAGATTACAGTATATTAAAATAAAATGCAATGCTTAGAAAGGGTAATAGTAACTTAAAGGGTAGAAAAAATAATATGAAATATATATTTAAAAAAGACAATTTAATCTGACATAAAATTAGGTCAGTGATTATGTAAGTATAAATTTGTTTGTTTTATATATCAATTATTTGTGCTATACTATACAAAATTCCACATACTTCAGCAGTATCTCATAAACAAAACTCTAATTTTCAAACCTGTAAACTGACAGAATCATCTATTACCTATTATCAATAAGTACAATTTTATATGTAATTACTTATTACCAAAAAATAGTTTCCTAATCCTAAACGTATAATGTCAAAAAATATTATACAATTGTTTGATTTCTGAACTTGTTAGTACTAAACATCTGAATAATCAGACATTTTCATATTTTAACCACTCATCAAAATTGATTATACTGATTCAAATTCTGAAAACATACTATAAAATGGTACATCTCCAAACGTGAACATTCTATAAAATCATTAATATGTTTTTTAACTATAACACGAAACAATTTTTTTTCTTTTTACCTCAAATATCTGTGCAAACTGGGTCTCTTTACTAGAAAATATCGCATGGATACAATGAATGGCATATTTGGCTTGGCGGGGGGGTCCTTTTTTAGATTTGTGATGTAAAACAGGAAGCAAAGCTCTAAAAAAAAGAGAAAGAAAAACAATAAACCAGAAAAATCAGCAAGACTCCACTAGATACTTGACCATTTGTATTTTTTTAGGTAACGTTTTGTAAGAACAAAAAAAATCTACCTGAACTCATTTTCAATGGTCTCTAATTTGCTTCATAAACAGCTACATTAAAAATATAATCCAAATACAAGGGTTTTTTTCCCTCCTTTTTACTTAACAATTCTAAACAGAAACATGGATGGTAACCCATTTCTTCTTAATGTCAATCCCATTAGTCCTTTCTTTTTTATTCTCACTGCTATCATTCCAGCTAAGCTGCTGCCACCTTATACATAAGACCACTATAATGGGACCTAAACTGTTTTTCAAGTCTCTCCCCGCTCTGATTCATCTTTCACTTCATACCACCACAACCTACAAAAGGGGAATCTGATTACAAAGCCTATAAAAATTAAGTGTTTACTAGGTCTGAGGCACTATTAAAGGTCCCAAGTGCTTGCCTTCATACTACTACTACTTGCCTTCATGCTACTTCATGCTAGCATATCAGGGACAAGACAAATGGTAATACATAAATTAGCAAAATATGTGTTATGTCAAATTGTGATAACTGTTGTGGAGGAAAAAAAGGAAAAGAAAAAAAGGACAGGATAGGGAGTGGGGAGTGGTGTGTGAGTATTACAGTTTGAAAGAAGGTGGTTACAGAAGACCTTTCAGATAAAGTAACACTTGAGCAGAGTTCTGAGGGAAGTGAGGAGTAAGTCATGTAGCTACCTGGAAGAACATTCAGGTATGGTATTAGTACACTACACAAAAACTTAAGAATGAATACTGAATACAGCAGGATCTCTTGGCTCAACTATTTATTCAAACATCTCACAGTGTAAGCAACTTCAGAATCCACCTTCTTGCCCAATACCAACCCAGTGTTCCAGTACTAAGAATTCAGATATACAGTAATTAATCACAATAATAACTGAGTATCACAAAAGACACCAGCAGCAAAATATAATAAAAAGACAAGTGACAAATTGAGGGGAAATTCTGCATTTTGTTTCACAAAGAAAGGGTTAATATCCCTAACGTAAAGACTTTCTACAAATACAGAATCACCAGCAATATCATGGACAAATGGGTTGGTCATAAAAAAAAAATAGAAAGCTTTTCAAAAGTTACCCTGTGATGTGTGAAAAGATGTTTACTTTCATTCATTTACAAAAAAAATGTATGAATTGAAACTATACTGAGAAGACTTCTGCTTTACACGATGACAGTATATCTGAGATGGGACATCCTCTCCTACCTTAAGCAAGCAGAAAACAGACAAACATGTTAAAGGTTTAAACACTGGGCAACAGGCAGCACATGACTATAACCCCTAAAAGAGGGGAAACACACTAGAAGAGTCCTACATCTATCCCCACTTACTGCACGCAAAGCTCCAGACTGCCGTGTAAGAAGTAACCCAATTAGAGCCTGGTGGTTGCACGGAGTTGAGGGAGACCAAGATGGGAGTTGAGGCAGCTTTAATTTCCAGGGCAAAGTTCCACAGAGGAGGGAGCTACAAAGACAGCAAAAGAGCCTGCATTCTGGAGATCCACAGAGCGGTGTCTCAAGTCATTGGCTGAATAATGATCAGTTTTGCCATGCATGAGAAAAAAACTACCCGAGACCAGGAAAAGAACACTGGAAAGCAGTAAGCCAAAAAATTCCCTACACACACAAGTCTGCTAGTGATTCATGTTTCCACCAGCCACAGTAGAAAGAACCTTGTAATACATAACCAGGAAAAAAATTCATCAACAGAAATAGGTCCAGAAGTGACACAGGTGACAAAATTAACAAAGACACTAAAACAGCAGTTATAAATATGCTCCATATGCTCAAGAAGAAAATATGAACATCATGAGGACAGAAATGAAATACTTTAAAAAAAACTAAATGGAACTACTAAATATGAAAAATACAAAGCCTACAATGAAAAATATACTAATAGGATCAAAAGTAGATTTTTTGTTACAGAAGAAAACATCGGTGAACTTTAAGACATAGCAATAGACACTATGTAAAACAAAACAAAACAAAACAAAAAAAGACGGGAAAAAAGTAAGAACAGAGCATCAGTGACCTTTAAGACAATATTAAGGAGTCAAAAATACATAAAACCAGAGTCCCAGAAAACAAAGTTGTGAGGAGGGGAGAACAGAAGAAAATATTTGAAGAAATAGTAGCCACAATTTTTCTAAATCTGATGGAAACAGACCCACAGTCCCCAAAATCTCAATAAGCCTCAAGCAGAAGAAACACAAAGTAAACCATTCCAAGACATGCCATTATCAATTTGGTAAAAACAACGATAAAGAAAAAAAATCTTAAAAACTGTCCAAAAAAAAAAAATACACATTACAGACAGAGAAACAATACATACAGAGGAACACTTTTCATCAAAAACTATGCAGTCCAGAAAATAATGGAGTGACATCTTTTAGGTACTAAATGAAAATAACTGTCAGTCTAGAATTCTATTCTAAGAAAAAAATACCTTTCAAGAATGAAGGCAAAATAAAGATTTTTTTCAGACGAAGAAAAGCTGAGATTATTACTTACAAGGAGAACTATACAATAAGAAATAATAAAGTTATTCAAGAAGAAAATGATACCAGATGAAAATATGGGTATCTAAAAAATGAAGACTGACAGAAATGGTAAATGTATGTATACAAATAAATCTGAGCATATTTTAAAAAGATAACAAGTTAACTGGTCACATTTGGAGGATGCTAGTAAACTCACTATTTTGAACACTGTTCTGTAACACACAAAAAAACAACAGATGCAACACTGGGGAACCAAAGAATAGATAGGAAGTTCCTCTTTATAAAAGTATTCAGCTAATAAGTGAAGAATGACAGAATATCACCAGTAATTACTAAGTATCATCAGTTTCTAACTATCATAAGAGAAATAACCAGATATCATGTGCCTTCTGATAGAACATACCACCATCTATAAAGTGGTCCTGTAACAACAAAAAAGTTGAACTGGAATCCAACCAGGTCTCTGTATTCAACTCTCACTTTACAGAAAATATAAGGAACCCATTAAAATATGCCAAAGGCATACAATTAGCAAAAATCAGTCTATGTGAAACTGTGCAAAAGAAACCTGGTTTCTTTATCAAATACAAAGAGAAAAAGGGAATTGGAGGGGAAGCCTACAGGAAACAAGGCACTAAGAGATTTGTCAACAAATAACAATGTGGATCCTGGAAAAAAAAACTACTAAAAAATTACATTTTTGAGAAAACTGGGTATTATTAACGTTAAACAATTAATGTCAACTATGTGATAAAGACATTATGCTTATTTTTTTAAGAGTTCTTATCTTTTAGAGATACTTAGATGTACAAATGAAATGGTATATATAGTCTGGCTTTGCTTTCAAATATAAGGGGAATGGGGAGTAAAAAGAATTATAAATTAAACAAAAGCAGCTGTTTAAGTTATTCATACATAAGCTAGTTATTGGATACATGGGAGTTCATTATAATATTCTAGCTACTTCCTTCTATGTTTGAAAATTTCAGTAATAAAATGTATACAAAATAAGAGTCTCACCAAATGATCCTTTTAGTCTATGGTTTATGGCTTCTTTGTGAAATGAAAAAGTATCTTCTAGTGACTTCAGTAACTAAACTCCCTAGATAAGATTATGTCTTCTCATAGATCAGACTTGCCAATACAAACATCCATAATCCCTTTTCTTAGTAATCAAGAGAAAATTACAGGTCACACACAAGTAAAAAGCAATTCTGATTAAAATTTTTAAAGACAGAATGAGAAATTTTAAGCTCATCCAATGTTTTGCATATTCCTTTAAACAGAAAACAGAAATAAACCAAAACAATAGACAAAGAAAAAAAAACTTTCAAGAATTCTGAAGTACTAGGCAGAGTCTGAGATGTTAGTGAAATGTAAATGAAACTATCTTCTGATTGCTTTTTCTATTAATAAGTTCCTATTAAAAAATACTTTATTCCCTTGTTATACTGACTTTCCAATTCAAGGTTTTTTTCCCTGATGATAATCATACACATGTAGAAAAAGCAAACAAAACTAAAAAACATTTAAAAACCACTGAAGAAAAAACTGAAAATCCCACTACCCTGAAATAATTACTGTTAACATTTTGGTGAATATATGTCTAAAATTTCTCTACACATGCATACATATATTAAGTAAATGAGGATACAAAATATATAGTATTTGGAAACACTTTTTCACCAACAATGCTGGAGAGAACCTTCTATGTCAAGTATGGCTAAACAATAATTTTAATGGTCATATGGCTCTTTAGTGGATAGCTATACCACAACCACTCTAGTCAATCTCCTACTGATGAGCATTTAGATGTTTTGGTTTTTTTTTTCATCTTAACAACAAAAGTATGAACATCCTTATGCTAGTTATTTATATTGTTTCTGAGCTTTAAGCTTTAAGCCTGCCATAATCTGCTCTGAGCAGATCCTGGAGATATAAATCTGAAATTACACTTTCTAGACTCCCTCAAGAGCTGACTTCTTGTTAGGTTCTTGCAATAAGAGACCCCAGAGCTTCTTTAGGCATTCTGGTCAGCTGGCTGACGGAGCTCTTCCATCCAATGGACAGTCCTTAACACCACTTCTCAGTGGTTCCTCCAGCCCTAAGGTGGTTGCTGCTTCCAGGAATTCATAATCTCTGGGTTACCAAAGCAACCTGTTGCTCTTTCATCCTTCAAACATATGTATTAATTTATTTATGTTTAAAATACCTGATACGGTTTCTGTTTCTCTGACTGGACCCTGACCCACATAATCATTAGGTAGATATCTTTTCTAATTATCTCTGGGATAAGTTCCTGAAAATGAAACTGCAGTGCTGAAAACTACACACATTTTAAGTTTGTATGTATTACCACATTACCAACTCAGAAAAACTGAATCAATTTATAATCCAATCAAGAGAGCAT